TATCTATCTATCTATCTATCTATCTATCTATCTATCTATCTATCTATCTTATCTATCTCTATCTATATATATAGATAGATGATATGATAGATAGAGATAAAAATAGAGATTATAGACAGACAGATGACAGACAGACAGATATATGATTATGGGAAGTTCCTCAAAATGTAGAAGTTCCAATAAGTATAACCAGGAAAAGTTTGAAAAATAACTAGCTAGGGCAGAACAGGAAGCCCGAGCACACAGAGACCAGCGAGTGGTGAGCAGAAAGCCAAAGTTTATAAAGGCTTTTGAATTCTGTATGGAGCTTTAAAAGCAGACTCTATCCTGGCAGCCAATCACAGGACGAAGTGGAAGATTAATTGATTTGTTTTATCTTGTTGTGTTTTGTTTTGGGGAAGGCATACATTAAAGAGTGAAGGCAAAAGGGGGAGACAGACAATCACACCCTCCTGGAAAAAAATCCACAGGACCAAGTGCTAGGGTAAGAAAACCTAAAATTGAATGGATAACTTGATGGAGGTTCAATGTGGAGGAGTCTGAGAGCTGAAAACTTCACCAAGATATATCTGTGTTTCGTACTTGGGAACCTAGATGAATATCAGAGACAAAATTCCTTCACACTTCAGGTATGAAACAAGAAAAGCACCACTGGCTTCAGAAATTCTGGTCTTCTACGTCCATACAAAACAAAGCAAAACAGAACATCACCATCTTGTCACAGTGTAACCCCACCCTAACCTGGGCATTACATCTATTCTAACCCATAAATGTGCTCGCCATAAATGTGTTAGCCATCTTGTTGGCTTCACAATTCTTACTAGTATTACATTGGAAATTTTATCTAGTTCCCAAAGAGCAGAAAAATAAGCATAAGATCCTAAGATTAAAAATAGAGGAAAAAAAAAACTTCATTCACAGATAATAGGCTTGTACACAGACTCTATCAAGATACTTAAAAAATTATAATTAAATAACATATAGTTAGCAAAGTACCAGAGTACATCAAAGTTTAGAATAGTTTGTAATAATTATATTTACTAGCAATGAGTATTTTTAAATTACTTAAAAATACATACAATACCTTCAATAGCTAAGCATCAAATTTTTGACTATGGATCTGCCCAAATATTTTCACAAAATATATTATGGAATCATAAAGTATCAAAGAGTACATACAACAACAAGGAAGTACATAAAGCTCATGGATTAGAAAGTCAAAGTCATTTAGTCATAACTTTTCCCAAGCCAAAGTATAGATATAATGTCAATGGATTTTTCTATAACAGTCAACATTGGTGAAAGCATTTGTTGTAGCCAGAGAAAAGCTCATCATGTCTGTAAAAGCTGAAGAGCTAGAGCAGCTAACCCGATATTGAGAAAGAACAGTGAATGCAGAGAACATACTATCTGACCCCAAGATACACTTCAGAGCCTCAGTATCAGTATAGCCTGATCCCAGACAAATGCCAGACTAATGAATTATGTGAGCTGAAAACAGACCATTCAAATATCTGGCTTGTGGCAGTTAAGTTAAGGCAGTAGTTCAGAATCTTCCTAAGGCTGTGACTCTTTAATACAGTTCCTCATGTTCTGGTGACCCCCAACTAAAAAAATTGTTTTCATTGTTACCTCATTTCTGTAATTTTGCTACCATGATAAATCACAATAGAAATGTGTTTTCTGATAACCTTAGGCAACTACTGTGAAAGGATCATTTGACCCCTAAAAGTGTCATCACCTTTAGGTTGAGAACTACTGATTGTAAGATGATTCCGTGGGGAAAAAGAAAATAATACTGAAAAAAAACTATATAAATAAAATGCTAATCAAGATGTTTAAAACAAAACAAGAATATTTTTCAGACAGTCCATCAAAATATATATGCATGACTAATAAGCATGCAAAGCTGTTCAATCTACATTTTAAAATGTTATCTCAGTGAAAAACAAACATAATAAAGTATTGTTATACACCTATTTGAATGGTTTAAAGATTAGTAACAATGCAAAGTTCTACAAAAGGATAAAAAGAAATACTAACCAAATGCTGCCAATGGGTATACAAAAGGTCCATCTACTTAAGAAGAGTTTGGCAATTTATCTTAAATGTACATAGGTACTCTCATATAACCTAGTAAATACACTGTAAGTATTTAGCCTACAGCAATAAAATGGTTGACAACTAAAGAACCTGAAATTGAATGAATGCAAAACTATTATGGACAATTGTCCAAAAATAGAATAACTCATTTGTCCAATGGATAAATAGATACATAAACTCATCAGGACATCTAAGCAATGTAATTCTATATGGGAATGTTAAAGGAACAGAATTATGGATGCCCACAGAAACTTCAAAAGATCACCAAGATATTATCCTACAAAAAATATTCCAACCCAACTGTTTGCAATACTGTATTTATGTCACATATATGAAATTTTATGTTAGGCCTAATCTTATTAGCAAAAAAAAAATCCAAGTTTGCCAAGAGTTATGAGGGTCAGAATATAAAGATAATATTAAGTAATTCATCTGCACTGTTGAAATTATTTATATGTTGTCTTCTAATGATGGATACAAAAAGCTACAAATATAAAATATCAGTTTATTAATTAAAATATATTTATCCAATTTAATTAAAAATAAAATTAAAAGCACAATGTTGGATGCTTATATAAATTACACTGAAAAAAAATGACAGGTATTGAGAGTAAAAATTATAGTTAATTCAAATTATTTGAAGGCTAAAACCAAGCCTGATTATGAAGGAGTGCTAAACCATGGAACAGAATCAGGTAGCAAACAGCAAATGTACACAGGCATTTCCATAAAGAACAAGTAGGTGCAACTGCTTAAAATGACTCACCTAGAATATAGGAAAGAGCGAGTGTGAAGAAGATGAAAATCCACATAACAGTAAGAAACAGAGAGACACAGATAGGTAAATCTAGCCTTTCTCACAAATGAAGGCATGGCCAGTATTCAGGTGAAACCTCAGGGTTTCTTCAGTCCACTACTATTCAGAGTCAGCACTTGGTGAAAGCAGTATTCATCAATACCTCCTCAATAGCGCCTGCAGAAATCCTGTGGCCTGCAACATTTATGACATCATCCACACGAGACATAACATACACGTAGCCTTCCTCATCCATGTAGCCAGCGTCCATAGTGTCATAATATCCCTGAAAACAAGAACACATATGTTCAGTTAGCATGCAGTGGTAGGAAACAGCATGACCATTTTAAAGGTTGGTGAAATGTAAAATGTGACCTAAATGGATTCATTGTGAGCCCAGGACTATTTTTACAGGGTTTTGAGATTAAATTGCTTTTGGTTTTGAATAATAACTAGATTTTTTTTTGTTTCTTTAACAACCAGAAATAAGTAAAAATGTCCTTACATGTGTTCAGTAAGTATTTGAACTCAGAATTCTAACATTTGTGAACCCAATTACTTTTTTTTAAACACAGAAGTGCTGGCTCAATATTTCTGATATATTTTGGTATAACAAAGAAATTTTTAATAGAGTGATCTCAAATTTTATCGATTTCAAAACCTTTTTATAAAAATTCCAGAAAGAAATCACGAGTTCATTGACATTGATTGGGATTGAAGTCAGGCCTCAGTACAGCTTAATAATCAATATGAAATATAATATTTTCCTTAATCTCAAAGTAACACATCTTTGTTGGTTTATGAATTACAATAGAAAGAAAAATCAAGAATAAAAAGTAAAAAGAAAAATACATATTATTTTCTTTAGTACTTCTAATTTATTTGATACTTGTGTACCAAATAATCCAAATCCAAACAAGTGACTATTTGTGTATCTTAACCTTCCTAATTGTTGGTATGTTCCTCTCTTAAATAACTTACTAAACTCTTCCTCACCAGACTTCGGTGATCACTACAAAATGGTGTATACAGCAGAGGGCAGAAACAGCATAAACCCTTGGTAATTGCAGTTCTTATTGTATTCTGCAGTTATGAAAGACCATCTAGAGAAACAGTGAAGGGTAGGCTATTTTGGTTTCAGCCTCAGCTGTATTACGTCTAAGTTGTACGAACTCCAATTAGCTTGCTTGACCCATGCTTTTCTTCAGCCTGTAGATGAGAGGCCTAAAGTAAGGAATCAAGGCAAAATGGAGAGGTGCTTCATGGAGTCTGACCGTGCACTGAGGCTTTTGAGCCTAAAGTTAATCATGTTAAAATCACATGTATATATTGTTTGTCATCATTATCATGTGATAATGAATTGTATCAGTACTCTGATGAATTACCTATGGCCCATCATAAAGACCAAATTGGCTGACTGGAATCAACTCAAATGACAAATATTTCTGCCACATTCTATCAGGAGAATGTTCAGTCTTGGCTGTTGAGGTCACTTGATTCTGAGGTGTCTTTCTAAAGAAAGCTATTTTAATCCTGGCCATTCGTCTAGTTGAGAGGGGCATCTATCTTCACTCACACACAGGAAAGACAGAATGCTAACTACTTGGATTCATTGTTTTGAGGCTACTCTCATCATTCACTCGCTTTTACCTGGCACATCATAAGGGCAAGGTGAGGGTAGGATGTACTGTTAACAAAGTGTTGCAAGGAGCGCAGTGCGCATCACCTTGGCATGGGATAACAGATGAATAACAAAATGGCACACAGGAAGACACACTTTGTCATCGAGGTCCCTGGAACAAGGGGCTAGGCTTAAAGATACTGTCCCTGGCCACTTATTTATTTAGAAATAAAATGATATTTTAAGACAAAAAAAAAAAAGATTAAATGAAGCTGTTAAACACAGATAATAGGGTCGAAGATCCATTAGATTTACTCATGTAACTAAGTGTAGAGGACGTTGGGGCTCCTAATGACTTCCTAGTTCCAATTGCCTGCTTGTTCTCAGACTGTACAGAAGATGCCAGTAAGAAGTCTAAAATTATTGGAGTCCAATTTTACTGGCTTTAATTTCAAAATATTGTGATACTCATAGTAAAAAAAGACAAAAATAAAAGCACATAAAATTATAAAGCATATTAAAGTTCTTACAGGAAATTTCTCAAAGTATAAATGCTTGAATGCTTCCTGATTCTTCCAGAGTCCTGAAAAAGCCCCAGGTGGTAATGGCAACCTTAAACACAGAGAAGATAACATTTCTATGAACAAAATAATAACGATAATCAATAATGACTATTAATATTATTTCCCATTTGGGCTAACGAAATCATCTATTCAAATGCAGACCCTTATTTTGCTGGGAGCATCATGCTTAATTTGAGGGCAAGAAGAGTATAATATCATAATACAATTATTTAAGAATAATCATAGTTTCTTAACAGGATACATACAACATTGTAATACAAATAAACAATCTATTTCATGAGAACTGCCAAGTCTTTCAGTTTAAAATAAATCACTAAGCCAATTATTACACTGAAAAGTGAAAATGAGAGAGAGATGAGGCAACATGACACATCTACTCCACACAGGATTTTCCATGCTGAGATGAGAGGGGGCCAGAAGGTCAGAAGCCTATTCTAATATCAAGCACACTAGCATTGAATTTTATTCCCACCTGTGTCAGAAAAGATTAATCCATGTGGGAGCAGCTTTGATTACCACCTGGACATCCAAGCTGACATTTCCCTTTGCCTCCACGTTTAGCCAGTATCTCAACTTTTTCCTTATTCAGACTCTTAATTTCCTTTCTCTCTCTCTCTCTGTCTCTCTCTCTAACTCCTTCTCTCCCTCCCTCTCTCAAGAACAAAAAGATGTCATTATTTCAAGACATCATGCAATTACAGAACATTCATGTGAAAGAATTTGGTAATCTCAAAATGCAAAACAACAGCAAAAGCTATAGAAATGCTGACTCAATGGTACCACCTTTGCAGCCCTTAGCTTTCCTGACCATCATTTAATCTGTTTAAAGGCAGCAGGCTGAAGGTGATAAGGCCCCTAGGCTCTTTCAAATGACTTTACCATGCTAATCCCTTCTAAACCATCATGTAAATAGTTTTGCTTTATCAGTTTGTTTTATATCGGCATGTTAACAGTTTTGCAAAAAAGAGTAAAAGTCGATTTTAAACACTGACATGTAACGTGAATATAACAACCTCTAACAAATACATTAAGGGCATCATTGAGATGCCAAAGAGAGAGATGTAAAACAGACGTTTAGTGAAAAATCAAACTCTGCAAAGGGCTAGGAGGAGCAGCAATGATGAGTGGAGCAAATTATCGGTTAAATAAACAAGAATAAACCCGCTGCGGATACACATTGAAGAGGTCTCAATTGCTCCCATAAAATATATCATGGTATAAGTCCCTTCTAACACTCATAGTGTCATTTTTTTTGAAAGACACAGGTTTAAGAAATACCTCTTTATTACATCTGAGAAAAAGATAAAATGAAGTTATGATAATAAATTATGACAGACATCCATACTGGTGTAAGGATAATAGGGTTTAGAGTTTAGAGTGCAGAGGAATATGGAGCCAGCTATCTACATGTATATTTTCCATAATGAGAGCAGGCTGTACTGAGAAACATCTTGTAAAACAAGTGTTTGTCTTACTGTATCTACAGAAAATCAAAAATTCTGTTTTTTATGTACCTGTGCACCTTCCCCACAATCTCCACACTCAACTCACTCATCTCTCTTATTTTAATGACGCTCCTGTCCAGGTTATTAAGAGAAACCTCAGGATGATCTTTTCCAGTTCCCACCATTTACCTGCAAATTTCATGATTTTCTTGTTTTTTGTTTTTTTTTTTATTGCTGGATGATATTCCATTTTGTAGATGTACCACAATTTCTGTATCCATTCCTCAGGTGAGGGGCATCTTGGTTGTTTCCAGCTTCTGGCTATTACAAATAAAGCTGCTACAAACATGGTTGAGCAAATATCCTTGTTGTGTACTTGAGCCTTTTTTGGATATATGGCTAGAAGTGGTATGGCTGGATCTTGAGGAAGCACTATTCCTAATTGTCTGAGAAAGTGCCAGATTGATTTCTAGAGTGGTTGTACAAGTTTACATTCCCACCAGCAGTGGAGGAGGGTTTCCCTTTCTCCACAGTCTCCCCAGCATCTGCTGTCACTTGAGTTTTTGATGTTAGCCATTCTTATGGGTGTAAGGTGAAATCTCAGGGTTGTTTTGATTTGCATTTCCCTGATGGCTAATGACGTTGAGCATTTCTTTCAGTGTTTCTCTGCCATTCGATATTCTTCTATCGAGAATTCTCTGTTTAGTTCTGTTTCCTATTTTTAATTGGATTACTTAATTTGTTGCTTTTTAACTTCTGTAGTTCTTTATATATACTGGATAGTAGCCCTCTGTCAGATATAGTGAGTTTACTATCCCAGAAGCAGAAAGACACACACGGTATATACTCACTCATATAGACATATAATATAAGATAAACCTACTAAAATCTGTACATCTAAAGAAACTAATCAAGAGGGAGAACTCTGGCTAAAATGCTCAATCCCCATCTGGAAAGGCAAAGAGGATGGACATCAGAAGAAGGAGAATACAGGGAACAATTTAGGAGCCTGCCACAGAGGGGCTCTGAAAGGCTCTGCCCTGCAGACTATCAAAGCAGATGCTGAGAGTTATGGCCAACCTTTGTGGAGACTGCAGGGAAACTTATGAAAGAAGTGGGAGTCAGTAAAACCTGGAGGGGACAGGAGCTCCACAAGAAGAGCAACAGATTCAAAAAAATCTAAGCACATGGGTCTACCCTGAGACTGATAGTCCAACCAAGTAGCATGCATGGAGATAACCCAGAACCCCTGCACAGATGTAGCCCATGACAGTTCAGACTACTAGTGGGTTCCATAGTAATGGGAACAGGGACTGTCTCTGACATGAACTGATTGGCCTGCTCTTTGATCACCTCCCCCTGAGGGGAGAGCAGCCTTACCAGGCCACAGAGGAAGACAGTGCAGCCACTCCTGATGAGACCAAACAGACTAGGATCAGAAGGAAGGAAAAGAAGACCTCCCCTATCAGTGTACTGGGGGAGGGGCATGTGTGCAGAAGGAGGAGGAAGGGAGGGAACCACAGGGGGGATACAAAGTGAATAAAGTGTAATTAGTAATTTTTTTTTTTTAAAAAGAGAAATCTCACCTTCCCTTTAAGGACCCATCATGTTAGATCTTCACAAATATCATATTGTTTTCACCTAACATTCTCCCTCTCACCTGAAGCTTGATTCAAAACCTCGAGGTCCTTCCCTTCTAATAAACTTCATTCTTGAATAGAAACACTAATTATGTGTCAGCCTCCTTTTAGATAAAAAAAAAATGCTGTTTCCTCATATTTTATTTAACTGGAGTTGTATAGAGATAGGGAGTTTGAGTTTCACACTGAATTTGTTTCTTTAAAAGCTGAGCTATCATTTATGATGTTGATAAAGGCATGCCTGGTGAGGTAGTGTGGTTAATGGCATAATCCAAGCACTTAGAAGGTAAACTCAGGGAGATCAGGAGTACAAGGGCAGTCTCAGCTTGTCACACAAACAAAGGAAATAAACAGTAGTCCTAAAAGCTTGATGATAATCCCACATGGACAAAGTGTAAATATAAAATGTTTGGAAACCAGTGGAGTGATCAAGGTAGAGTTTATGGAAGAGAAAGGATATCCAGGAAGATTAAGAGCCAGATGAACCCTTATGCCAGGCTCCTGTCAACAAACAGCAGAGTTACAACAGGAGCTGGCTATCTACCATGGGATGGGTTTCAAGTTGGACCAGTAATTCATTATCTTGCCAGTCCCTCAGTCTTCTGCTCCATCTTTATCCCTACACTTTCTGTAGGTGAGACAAATTTTGGGTCAAAAGTTTTATGGGTGGGTTGGTGTCCCTCTCTCTCCTCTGGAAGTCTTACTTGGCTAGAGGAGGTGGCCACTGCTCAGAGTCTCTGCTAGGGCTACTCCCAAAGACACAGGGGAGACCCCCTGTCCAAGAGATGCCCCTTCCCACCAATTTCCATTCTCTCTCCAATCCTTTCCCCCAACCCAATCTCCACACACTTGATCCCCACTCTCTATTACCCATTAATTTCCCCACCCATTTTTCTACCCAGTTCCCCATTTCCAGCTGAGTAAGATTCAAGCAACCTCCCTTGAGCCCTCCTTATTTTTTTAGCTTCTTTGGGTCTGTGGATTGTAGCATGGTTGTCCTGTAATTATTGGCTAAAATCCACTTAAAAGTGAGTACATACCATGCATGTCTTTCTGGGTCTGGGTTACCTCACTCAGAATGATATTTTCTGGTTCCATCCATTTGCCTGCAAATTGCATAAAGTCTTTGTTTTTATTAGCTGAGTAGTATTCCATTATGTAAATGTACTACATGTTCTTTATCCATTCTTTGATTGAGGCACATCTAGGTTGTTTCCAGTTTCTGGCTATTACAAATAAAAGTGCTATAAACTTAATTGAGCAAATGTCCTTGTGGTATGATGGAGTATCTATTGGGTATATGACCAGGAGTGGTATGGTGGGTTCTTGAGATAGAACTATTTCCAAATTTCTGAGATACCACCAGATTAATTTCTGAAGTGGTTGTACAAGTTTGCACTCCCACCAGCAATGGAGGAGGGTTCCCCTTGTGCCATATCCTCACCAGCATGTGCTGACATGTGAGAGTTTCTATCTTAGCCAGTCTGACAGGTGTAAGATTGAATCTCAGAATTGTTTTCATTTGTATTTCCTGATGACTAAGGTCATTAAACATTTCTTCAAGTGCTTCTTGGTCATTCTAGATTCCTCTGTTGGGAATTCCATTTAGCTCTGTACTCCATTTATTATTATTATTATCATCATAATTATTATTATTTATTACAATGTATTCACCTTGTATTCTAGCAGTAGCCCCCTCCCCCATCTCCACCTGGCCCCACCGTCCCTCCTTCTTCTCTCCCATGCCCTTCCCCCAGTCCACTGATAAGGGAGGTCCTCCTCCCCTACTATCTGTCCCTAGCCTATCAGGTCTCATCAAGGCTGGCTACAACATCTTCCTCTGTAGCCTGGCAAGACTGCACTCCCCAGGGGCAGGTGATCAAAGAACTGACCGCTGAGTTCACACCAGAAACTGCCCCTGCTCCCCTTACTAGGGAACCCAC